GAGAAATATTCGCTGATCGTTAAAATAAAAATAGCCTCGATTCGGCAGAAATTGAAATTGAACACGCACCGATGCGCCAATCGCGACGAGAACATTACGCGGCGTCATCGCGCTCCAAATTCCTTTAGAAACGAGATCGAGTTGGCGCGACGAAGAGAATCGCAATTTTCGCTTCGTTTTAATTAATCAAACAAAAGAAAAAAGAAGAAGAAGAAAAAAAAACAAAACAAAAAACTCCAACTCTCGTTTGACACGGATACGATTTCGAACGTAACGACAGTAACGAGAATTCGGCCGATTTCGATCTTTTGCGACCACCGGTGTTCGCAAATACTCACGCCAGCAGGCATACGCTCGCCACGCTTCCCCCTGGGGATCAACGAACAATTTACAAATAGCGTTCGCTACGCAACCGACGCTCGTATCGCGTGCATCCATCGTCATGTGACAATTAGACTGATTGCGAGAGACGGAAACCGTGCGAATACTAATTTCGTAACAAGGCCAACATCCGCCTGCAAAGTTTCTGGAGAGCGCGTGTCAAGATGTATAATATACACACACACACACACACATTCGAGAACGAGACTCTCCTAATTTGGAGATCATTTCTTTACTCGACGTAATAACTCGAGTTGTACACTTTTCAGGGAACGTTACGATCTAAAATGGCGCTGTTCGCTTGGAGAGAAATACTCGTTCGAGGGTGGCGACGAACGAATGTTTACACGTTTCGAGTAAATTGTTTCGAGAAACAAAACGTCGATCGATGGTGTCGAGAATAATTCTCGTAAACCCTCGAACTGTAAAAATTCTCTCCAAGATCTCGAAAAAAAAACGCGCGTTAAAAAACGGAATTGCACGTGCGTGGAGACAGAATTATTCTCTGAGAACAGTTTCGTTCGAAATATCTCGATTCTCGAGAAGAAATTTACGCTTCGGAGCCTCGAAATCTTTGAATGGGCGGGGATTAAAAAACAGGGGAGAGGAAGCTTGCCAAACAAGTGCAAGTACACGGGAAAAATGTCGCAATGCGGATGCGACGCGTCTAGGACGCGTGCACACAGATGCAGCCGAGAGGCCGCACGTAGTATAAATCGAGAGAACGCACCCGTGGCGAAAGAAGAGTTTCAAGATCTCTTTGCGCGAGATTCGCGCGCGAGTGCGTCGCAATTATGCAAAGCGGCACGCTCGCGAGAATTGGCCAACCTCTGAAATTTAAACAACAGAGACGAGAGATAGAGAGAGAGAGAGAGAGAGAGAGAGCCGATAATTAAAAGACGAACTAACTGAGAGATTTCTCACGAGCCGAGAAAGCTTGGAAATGTACACACACATATGTATATATATATATATATATACACGGTCGCAACGCGTTTGTTGCGCGTGTCGAGGAGCATTAATTAACGTCACGATCAGTGCATCACATTTGACATGATTGCGAGCACCGTTTATCCTGCTCGCGAGTTATCTGTCTCCTTCACGCTGGTTCACGACCCGCCACCCATCACGAATGTGCGCGCCGCTAATGGAATGGAACGCGGGAAAAGCTAGAAAAATAGAGGAATAGATTTATCGTCGATGCCAAGGGAAAATCGAATTATCCCTGAAATAATTATCACAAAATCAATCGATTCCTCCTATTCCTGAACAATATAATCCGTTGTTGATGCTTTCCATGTATCGTTCACTGGCGAAAAGAAGTCTCTCGGAATGGAGCGAGACGTTTCGTTGACAATCCTGACACCTCACATTATATCATAGCGATAGAAGATGATCACGCGTGAAAATAAGCGACACTTCTTCTCACAATACGCAGCATCTTTAAAAATTCTAAAATATTATAATTCTTATAAAAGAATGTAAAGTATCCTTTACATCTTACGATTGTTAACGTTGCTATATAATTTGTTCCCATTTTTCTATAAACCTCTAAAGATCCGTGTATAAAAGTGGAATTTGGAGCGAGGGGTATTTGTCTCTCGTAGTATCTACAAACCTCTCTCTCTCCCTCCCTCTCTACCAACTCTACGTAAAAAAAAAAAAAAAAAATTCAACAACAATGCGCGGAGAAAGGACCGAGGAGTGAATTGGAGCAGCAGGTTTTTCACAATCCTTGGTGACAAAGATACGACGTGGAATGAAAGACGCGTCTGGGCGAGGGGACAAAAGGACGATATCCCCGTGCGAGAGAGAGAGAGAGAGACAGAGAGAACGTGAAAGACGATGATGGCAAAAAGGGAGACGACGCAACGTCGGACCAACGAGGAGGAGAATTTATAGCGTTTGCAGATATAGCCGCAATACGCGTGCAGTACGGTTACAATGCCGCGATGGCGAGGCAAGCGAGCACTCGTGCCGATCACGTGTCCGGCTTGTACCGCAATCGGGCTCATTGTCCGCGGACAAGAGTGGGTACAAAGCGCGAGAGAGGCCGAGCGAGTAGCCCGGCCAACGTCATTGCGGTTCGATGCAACTAGACAATCTAGTGTAAATAGGGGAGGGGGGGAGTGTGCCTCCCGTGTACGGGTGTTACGTGCGCCGATCTCGCGCTTCGGATCCTGGAAATCATGGGGGCGGATTCGATGATACCGAAATTGAAATTGTCGGGCTAATGCGATTACCGAGCCGTTGCGTGAGGGAGGCCGGCTAATAGCCGATGTGACAGACGCGATTGACTG